TTTTCGGTCATTGTTTATTACTAATTCTGACGATACAGTAGTTTTTCAGCATATTGTACACTAAAAATAATAACCAAGAAAACAATTTTTGAGTAAGAATATGTAAATTTTAAATAGACAAATAATAACCCCGTAACTACGCTTTAGAATAATTCTACAACGTACCTATCTAACAATAGCATCGACATTACAATTTGCACACAATTTACATAGCTCTCTCTTAATTATACAAGATTAAATTTTTAATCTGGGAAAATTATCTGGTGAGATTGCAAACAAGGTCTCCGCACTGCGGAGCAGACTAAATCCGTGAACTTCTTAACTTCACTAACAGTCTTTTGGTACTTAACAGTCGAGATTCTAGTTAAATGTAGTATAACGACTATTAGAGTTATTATTTGAACAAGTTTCCTGGGCTCCTTAACAATTTAACTTAGCGAGGAAATATTTTCGAATAAACCTATGTAGATTATGAAGAGACGAAAGTTTTCACGAATCTGAGTTGACGGTGGCGGAATAATGATTTTTTAAAACCATGCAATTACAGACGGGATTATTCCATAAGGACCTACCTGAAAATAGAAGGGAAATAAACGATCTAGAATTTAAAATTTTATTTTTTTAAGGATTTTTTTTCATCCTTTAGAGAACGACTGTTATCACTTTTATCCTTCTAAAGCGTGGCAACACGAAAGTCCTGAAACCCCTACTATTATTCCTACTGTTATTTACCAGCACAGAGACAGGTCAAAGGACTATTGGGATCTAAAAATAAGATCGCAGCGCCGTCTGTACTTGACATTTAAACTAATTGTTTTGGCTTGTTATTGTTTACATTTTGGTGTTTGTAAATAGCCCATAAAAAGTATTACTAAGAGAAAAGTAATTTTACTAGAATTGATCTTATAACTTTAATTTTAAAGTTTTGATTTTAATATTAAGTTTTGTGTATTATAATTTCAATTTTTAATACCTCTAATCAATGTCAACTCATTTTACTTTGTTAATTTTTGTAATTTATGTAAAATAAAGGATATAATCACTTGTTTTGCTATTAATAACAAATTTATATCGATTATTTCCATAAAAACCCAACCTTAAAAAAATAAGAGACACAAATTAAACTTACATTGAAAAGACGATTACCATATTGTCTTATTTGTGTCTTACATTATATTAGTATACCTACCTACAAATCATTTTTTGACTTTTTCACATTTTTATATCCCCACTTGTATATTATTGAGAAATTAATGGATAAGGATCTCGCAAGAGACTGTAGAACTGTTCTTTGTATTCTTTTCACGTTTGAATTTATTACGCTGTATAATGCTACGAATTTTCTTTTATCATGCTAAAAAAAGCACTTTAAACACTTTAAGAACTATACAAAGATACTTTGCCACTCTTTTAACACACATATGCATCAGCAAAATTTGTAGAATATATTTTCTGCATATAAATATTAAAGAATTGTTATCACTACTGACTACGAAAGAGTTTATGGGTTGAACAATAAATTTTGTTTTATCTTAGGTATGCAATCATCTATTTGCAACTTGTAGTAAAGACGTAATAAATAAAAACTGATTTGAAGAAATAATCTTTTATGTATATGCACTTTTGATATTTATGTTGCTGAATTCTTTTATGCATACAAGAATGTTAAGAAACCGAGAAACAACCTTTTCTAAAAGCGATAAATATATATTTGCAATAAGGACGAAAAATGGGTTGCTACTCATAAATTTTTATATAAAACGAACTAGGTTAGTTTATTTTTGTTTTGTCCACATGTTCAGTTTAATATTATTAAAGATTATTCCACCGTTTCAAATTTACGATTACGAAAACACATAGAATAGCTTTTTGGGAGCTGTAAAATTTTACATTTTTATGAAACAGTTGGTTTTTAACATATAAAACATCATATTTCAGTAAAAATTTAAATAATCGATTTGTTTTTTTTTAATTGATGTAGAAACACGTGCGCTTCTAATAGTTCTACGATACTTTTCGAAAATAGCACAGAAGTTGTTTGTAATAATCATGATCTATGTCGGCGTCACTTATTTAGTCTAGAAAGTTGGACAAATAAAGAATTAGAGAAGAGAGAGAGAGAATATATGTTTATTGTCCAAGTTAAAATACTTATTGACAAACACAATATTGTACAAATTACAAATAAATAAATAGTCATTAAAATATAAACAAACATTATTATAAATTAACATTAATACATACATCTAAAATAAAATAGAACAAAATAAAATAAAACACATATCACAGTGTCTCGTCACTATAAAATTCTGTAATTTTATAATTAGGCCTAGAAAAAGTCTACAAAAATAAATAAAAGAAGCCCGAAGGCAAATGAAGCAGCTAACTTAGGTAATAAGACAGCAACGAAAAGCTCTGTGAACACCCAAATCGTTAATTTGAAATATATAGTTCTTGTATCTGCTTAAAAGTCTTACTCTGTTTTGAACACTTTGAAGCAGATAATAACTGCTGCTCACACCAAGATTACAATCCGGAGAGCTTGTTTCCAGTCGAGGGACCTCTAAGAGAAGTTTCATTTAAAAAAGTCAGGAAAATAAATTTATATAAATTAGTCAAAGAACTAAAGAACAAAGGACAGTGTTATGTAAGATCGAAAACAATGAACAATAAACATGTATAGCACATGCACAATTTTGGTTTTTATGGGATTTTAATATATTTTTGTGACACTGCACTTACCAATTTATCTTTTGTTTTAATTTATAGTCACCACTCTTTATATTTTATATTGTGTTTTTTATTATTTTATTTTATATTGTATTGTATAGTGTTTAAGCTATTGTTGGAGGTAATTGTATAGTTGTATAATTGTATATTTGCACGCCCTATTTATAATTTTTTTTTGCACACAAGTTGTAATTCTACAACTTCATGTGAATTAACGTTTATTTACTTTAGTGATTATTGTATTGTAAAAAAAAAATATGTTTTTTTTGAGTAAATAAACTATATTATTATTAATATTATTATTATGCTTTATTGCAAAAATAACAGCACTACATTAGATGAGATTCGTATCACGTTTTTTGAGCCCTACCACGGAAAAAGTGAAGGGGATAGTGCACATAGTGCCATAGGATATGCCGTTAAAGGAGCGGGAGATATTTTTATACCCTCACAATTAACAAGTATAATAAGACTGGCTAGACGCAAACACCCTTATATTGTAGAAGAGATGAATCCTGAAAAGTTTCTAGTTTTAAATGAACTGTCTAAAAATCTACGAATTCTGACCATTTGAAAATGTAACAATTCCAGTGACACCATCGACTGGACAAAGGTATCTGAGCTGATAGTTACGAAACTAATGCCAAATACAATTAAGTTCGAAACTATAGTTAGCTGCTCATCATACAGCAGCATTTCTCTTAAGAGAAATATACAGTATAATCACCCTCTTAAGAATCTAGTTCCTAAATTAAATACAGGCCCAATCAAGATACCGAACCCTAAATATAGAGACTTGTGTTCTTTATGTCTAGGCATTTTAACACTCACCTACCCTACGAATAATTAGTTTTCCCTGGGACCAAAGACTAAGTACTTACAATATAATATAAATAGATCTTTGTTTTTTTGTAATAGCTTATGAGCTTTAAATTTTTTAATAAAAATTATTTGATTTAAAACGAAATATTTTTTAAAGCCATTTATATTCCTCAATAACGTTACAAAAAATAAAAATCAATTTGTATTGTGCTTTAATATTGCATATCGTCGGACCTAACTCAAGGATTTTTTGGAAAATTCTCGTCACAATAATATTTGATTTAAAAATTCGATAAAATTACAGTTTATCAACTACTTATCCTCAATTTTCTGCTTTTAACCCACAATAACGTATTTTTTTAGCTCAAACATCCCAAAATTATCAGAAACGCATTCTCTAAATAGCTTGAACAGAAAAAATACATACATTTTTAATAACTTAAAGATTTTTTTATTTTTTTTTATAAGTTGATCTCTTTTTCCTACTTTACCGGTTGCTCATTTACATTCCAAGAAAATTATTAATCTTCCTAACCCACGGAGTGTAAAAAAATTCTTTCATCTTTGAATATTATGCGTACTTAAATTCCTTTGAGTAATTGCACTGCGGAATATGAAATAATTATGAAATTCTCCTTGAAGTGAAAATTCTGTACCAAATTGTTTTCTGAGTGCGCTTTGCTAAGAAAAAATTCTGACAATAATAAATTGGTAATGGATTTTTATTATTATTTCTTTATCATTCAAATGTTTGCTTGAATTTTTAAATAAAGATTTTATATATGTTATTGTTTATTACTTCTATGAGGTATTGTGGAATTGTTGTGGCAATATATCTCGAATATCTTGAATCAATCAATATTTTGTTGATTTAAACCAATCTCATATGTTTTATGTAGGCGTTTATTTAAATTTCTGAATTTTAAATATAAAACAACAGTTTAAATTATTAAAATATCTTAAGAGGGATTCATACTCAAAATGATTTTACCTTCTGTTTCCATAATACATATCTGATTTTAATGAAATTTTCAATAGCCTATCTAAAAAAAATCTATTTTACGGGAAAGTATTTGTTTTTTTTTGTGAATAACATATTAATATTTTCAATAATATTTTTATATATTTTATATATGTTTCCCGAAAGTGATGCTTTTTTCATTTCAGTTTCATTTGCAAATAATGATAAATTAACCATTTTATTGAAAAAAAAATTTATAATTGACTATCCTGTTTTATAGAAATCATTAAGAACATCAATTTCGATTTCTATATTGGTATTAATTGTATAAAATTAAAATAGCAAAATAAAACAACTGGAAGGAAGCCTGCAGCACTAAATTAACTACCTATGAAGCAAACACAGATTTAGCCTAAATATACAAGATGATAGTGATTTAATGAGATGAATAAGTGCTATGACATACCGTACTCCTGGCTTTGCGTACCTTAGACGACCCTATCTCCCTTGTCGAAATGCCCATTTTCTTGTGCTGGCGTAACTGGACAGGGTAGATGATCTGATAGTAATGAGAACCGATGTTTCGGACCATCTCTTGATTCTGGGTGTACTCCCGAAGAAGTCTCTCCACCTCTCCTGCAACAATATAATAAACAAATTAAATATGGAAAAATATGGTTTATGGATCTTATAATTAGGTAAAATTACCATCAATTTTAAAATTAAATATCCTGATATAGTAATAATATTCCATGTAAATCGTAGCGGTTAAGGCCGCTATTTCAGTAAATTTTACGTGGTCAAAACAAAGATTTACAATTATGTACAGAACTTTCTTTCACTGAATGGAATTTTAAATTTAAAAACTACAAATATAGTAAAATTTGTTTATTTTTATATAGAACACACGATGCAATTAATTTTTATTTATTTATTTACTTATTCGAAGCAATCAACATTAGTGTGAATTATTAGATCGGCATCTGGGAAAAATTTATAAAGATATCGCACCTTTAATTATAAAGTGGCACAACTAAAAAATGCTAGTTTTGTAGAATCTGCCAAAAACTGTTTTATATTTGGAGTTGTCTTATTATATTTGAACTTTGAGAAAATTTACGAAGTATTATGAATAAATGAAATATGAGAAAAGGTTAAGCAATATTTTAAAGATGTATGTAAGATTTAGTTTTTTTTAAAGGAGGAAGGAAAAATGGTTTTACTGATGGTAAGAAAAAAAAATTCATAATTATGTCACTTTAGTAATAAAAAGAATATGTATCAATACGAAATGTGTCAATTTATAACTAAAAATTGCATCTATTATTAGAGTTTTAAAAAAAAAAAGTTTCATCCTTATCACTTCACTTCTGTTCAAAATTTGCTTCTAAGAGATCTCCCAAGACGGTTACAGTTTTGCCAACGTATTCTCAACAAACATAATGATGACCGAAATTTTATTAAAAATAATATGTTCACCGATGAAGCGACTTTTACTATACGAGGTGTTTTTAATTATCGAAACAGTCATCACTGGGAAAAAGAAAACCCGCATGCTCGTAAAGAAAGACATTTTCAACATGAGTTTAAATTTAATATTTGGTGTGGCATTATGGGCGACCAACTAATAGGGCCATATCGTCTTCCTCCAAATTTAAATGGAGATTCCTATTTATTTTTTTTGCAAAATACGTTTAGAGATATTTTGGATGATATGCCACTAGATGTAAGAAGGAAAATGTGGTTTATGCAGAATGGAGCTCCACCTCATTTCCCATTAGTTGTTAGAAATTATCTAGGTGACATATTTCCTCAACGTTGGATTGGCAGAGGAAGTAATTTTGAATGGCCACCAAGAAGTCCTGACTATAACCCTCTTGATTTCTATGTATGGGGACATATGAAGTCCTTAGTTTATACCCAGGAAATTAATTCACGAGACGAACTCTGGAGGAACATACAACATGCGGGTAATTTTATAAGGGGACAGAATAATATTTTCTTTGCCATCCGAAAGTCCTTTATTAAAAAAATTAGAAAAGGCATAGAAGTCGGAGGAGATCACATTAAACATTTAATTTAAGTTCGCTTTTTTTACGTTAAATTGTTTTTAATTTTGCTTTACCATTGAAATAGAAGCCTTACGTTACAAGTTTTCTTATTGTGTTATTTGGAATCTCCTTCTGAGACACTGAACTGTTCAATTACGTTTTTCTCGAAAACAGGTGAAATTATCGTGTTTAAACAAGAGTACCAGTATTACGTAGAAATAATTTTTAGGTAATAATTTCTAATGAAAAGAACTAAAAAGTTTCGCTAAAAAAAGTTACCACCTAATTTCATCATCAGGAATCATTCACGTGGCGCCCCCTGTAACAAAATGTGAAATATTACATAAAATAATATTCCTTTTTCGAAGATATGCCTTTGTGCCGATTTTGATAACAATTCATAAATAAACAGTGACATTATAAAAAAAAAAAATTCAAATTTAACGCCTTGTATCTTATTCCACAGCCATATTGTATAAAGGTATATTTGGTTCAATCGCCATATGTCCCAATAGTTATGAATCACCCTGTATACATTTTACTATAGTGCCTAATATTATAGTTATTACTATTCTTCACAAATATAATATTTGTTTCTGTATTTCTGGGATTACAACACCAAAATCCAAAGTTTTAACTGCCAACCTTTTGTTATAATACCTATTATTTTAACAAAATCCGTACACAGCTGACGAGAAATCCTAATTATAATTCAGCAAGTTCAACACGTTATTTGCGGTAACAAAACAACACGTAGAATAAACAAAAAAAAAAACGAAATTTTGTATGAAGTCTTTTAAAACAACAGTTTTCTACGAATGTGCAGCATTTTCCCTACACCGTATTGCACTTCTGAAAACACATTGTTTGTTTTGTGAAATTTATTACAGGTGTTGCTTATCTGCAACATTTTCACCTCGATTTCAGTACGCGAGTATCGCCGGCTGGCTCTTTTAACAGGGCAGATACACAGCTATGAGTAGGTAAAAACGTTTTTACAAATTTAATATTAGATATGTCTCCGTACACATAATGTAAAACCAAAGGTGGTAAGGCCAGCCGCATACGCTACAATTGGTTCAATTTCTATCACAAATATCCGATTTTTGTTTATAAAGAAAATGCTTTAAGGACACCACAACACAACACGTTTTTGATAACAAGATTTAAATTTGAATTTTAGTTAATCCTTTTCTACGTAGATGTAGCTACACTTTTTACCCTCCATATTTTGTCAATTATATCGCAAAATTCGTTGGGCAAAATAATATACACAATAGGGTGTGTCATTTTTGAGCAACTTTATTTTCAACTAAAAAACAGGCTGAAAACTATCAGGAAGTTGAAAAAATAAGCCTCTAAAAATTTGAGCTCTTAATATTAATATTTTGTGGTGCCTGTTTTTAACTTTTCATTTTCTATTTAAATAACATCGAAAAAAATGTTTTCAATACTTTGCCTGGAAGAATCTGCTTGACATTTTTGGAATGCTAACTAGTTCATTCATAGAATAGGTTTTAGACGACACTTTAAAACTATAATGTTCAGGAATAAATACCCTGACTTAACACAAACCTATGAGCCTTTCGAAGTTCTCGAACAGACCACTAGGCTGAGAACAAAAGCTAACGCTCAGAAAATAAATAAAATTATTAAAAAGAAGAACTAGAGAAGGCAACTTTCTGATTACCCTCGATAAGGACAAAAAAGCAGCCAAGGAAATTCGAGAGGTTTTAAAAGACAAACAAAATTCTCTTACATGCAGACAAAGTGGAGAAGACAAAAACAAAGAAATAGTTCACATTAGAGGCCTAGACATAGAAGCAAAAAAAGAAGACATAGCTAAGGCTATAACTGACCAGGTTGGCAAATGGGACCAAGAAAATATCATTAGCGACTTAAGACTTCTAGCACAAAATGTCATGGCAGATTTCCTGAATGCTCTTAGAAATGATACGAAACAACATAAGAAGAAAATTGTGGTAGGCGGGGACACAATCAAGGTGATATACCAACATTCATAAAAAGAGGAAGTGAGTCATACATAGAAATTACTTTTAGCACGAAAAATATTGCCAAGCACTTAAAAAACTGGAAAGTCCTCGAGAAAGAAAGTCTCAGTTATCATCAACACATTGCCTATGAAATACAAAAAAACGGGGAAAATGGAACAATCACAAACAAAAAAAGGTTGGCGAGTTAAGAAAAACAAACTACATAAACTATCCGAAGAAGTGGATAAGATACTTAGAACCAAAGATAAATTAACTAACGCAGAAGAACTAGGCGAAATAATAGAGTCAGCATGTAATATAGTATTTCCAAAAAAGACACATGAACACTGTAAGAAACCGGTATATTGGTGGTGTGAGAATGTGGCAGAGAAAAGAAAGAGCAGTCTGAAGAATAAAAGAGCTATGGTAAAGGCAAATAAACGATATGACATAGAACAAAAATCGTGCATCAAGAACAATATAGGCGAAGCAGAGCCATTCTAAAGAAAGCAATATTTGAGGCTAAGAAAAAAGCTTGGAAGACTCTAATAGAAGAAGTAGATAATGACGTATGGAGAAAGGGTTATCAGATCGTCACGAACAAACTAAGATCCGCAGTACCCATGAATTTAGCGAAAGAGGTTCAAATGGAAATAGCCAAGAAACTGTTTCCTGTTAACCCAGAGATAGTATGGATGGGGTTTCCTGTGAATGACGACGAAATCATCACGATCAGCAAGGACGAACTCTTAGCAGCAGCCTTAAAAATCAAGACAAAGAAAGACGCAGGACCTGACGGAATACCACCGGAAGTGGTAGAGACAATTTTAAGAGACCACTCAGGGAAATGTCTGAAAGTATTCAACCACTACTATCAGAGAGGGGAATTTCCAAGACAATCGAAAAGAGCAAGTTTAGTGCTATTAGAAAAAGAGAAACCGGGACAACTAGAAAAAGCCTATCGACCAATTTGTGTACTGAACGTACTACTGAACAGCATGGATTTAGAAAGGGTAAATCTACTATTAGTGCCATGAAAAAAGTACAAGAGCTAGTTGAAGCAGCAAAAAAAGGCACTACAGTGAAAGAAAACTTTGTGTATTAATAACGGTGTATGTCCAGAATGCGTTTAGTTCTGCTCCTTGGGGAGGAATACTAGCAGAGCTAAAAGGAAGAGGGGTTGCTAGCCAAATTTACATGATAGCAAGTTACCTAGAAGATAGGACGTTAGTAGTAGAAACCAAAGAAATGAAAGTAACATGCAAGGTACCACAGGGATCAGTGATAGGACCTACCCTCTGGAATATATACTACGATGGAGTGCTTAGGATTCCAATGCCTAGCGGGGTAAAGTTAGTGGGATATGCCGATGATCTGACAATTCTGGTTACAGCGAAAAATATCATAGACATCGAATGGAAAGCTAACAGAGCTGTCAAAATCATAACCAGCTGGATGAAAAATAAAAGCCTTAAACTCACACCACACAAAACAGCAACTGTGATGTTGGTAAGTGGTAGAAAAGAGAAATCCATATCAATGAAAGT